AAGGGATATCGATACAGACCAAGGTGTCACACTAACGTAGCTACTGCTTCACCCGTGTCGGTCTACGCCGGACAGGTCCCTCACAGTTTATTGCTACCTAAAGGGTATCCCCCAAATCCGGGTTAGGATCTATGAAACTCCGATGCAAGCCCACAATATTAAAGCAAACAAGGCATACAATTGAAAACATAGAATGATCTAATCCTAAGGTACACCTCACTTATAAAAGTCCCCAGCAGAGTCGCCAGTTCTGTGATCGGTGGAAATAGAACTGACTGTTTTGAAATGCTGGTTCGCGAAATGTCGCGGTAAGCAAGAGTCGTCACCGTCTTTTATGTTTTCCAACAAAGAAAGGACAAAAGCATAGCAAAATTCCTTTTCGAGATATTTCTCGGTTCGGGAGGTAGATTATAGAAAGGGAAGGTGTTAGCACCCTTTCTATCCGTGGTTATCCATGGGCTCTTAGGTACTTGCTCACTATGTTTTCAAAAATGTTTGCTTTTCTTGTGTATGTGGGTTTTGAAAAAGTTTCATTTTGAAAACTTCTAGGTAACTCTTGTATCAGTCCTCAAGAGTGTATGAAGTGTTTGTTTGAAAACTTTTTGAAAGTGTAGGTGCGAAAAGTTGTTTTTTTGTTTTGAAAGAGCAAGTACCCAGGAGAAATCTACCTACTCTAAGGAATTAAGCTGTGTAAATGTCCTTTAGATAGTACTATCCCACTATTGAGAAGTAGGTAGCACCGTCGTCGGAGTTATTCGGGTCAATTCGATTAATGGGACATGTGTGGTCACCAAAGCAATAGTAGGACGCCTTAGCGGTAACCCTAATGTCCTAGATCCTTTTTATCCGAGGCAACCGTTTCGAGGCAACTGGATCTTTAGACAAGAGGGCGACCTCTAAAACACCCTATACTCAATGACCACCTCGAGGCAACCAAGTGAGACGTACCCTAGGAGTGGCATGTGCACGTGTGTCAGGATTCAGTTCATATTATCTTTGCACATGTATTATGGTGAGCTACGAGTTGGTTTTATTTTTCAGGCAAGTCTTGCATGCATAATTAACAGTTAATAATTTGCGGGAAATAAATTGCAGAAAGTGAATCTACGCTATTACAAGGCGTCGGGTATTTACATCGCCAAAAACATAACCCTTGAAAATAAACGCGAGAAAATAAAGAAAGCGATAAATCCTAATTATCTATTACATTCTCGGAGCAATTACATAATATGATCAAAATAATGAATCAAAAATAAATATGCGCGCGAAAGAATTAAATCGGGAAAGTCCTTAGGGTTTTGACCCTTTTGAGAAATAAAGAAATTTTGGTCCTTTTTGCATTTAACTCAAATTAAACCTAATAACTAATTAATTAATTAATTAAAAGGAAAAAGTATTTTTTAGGTTTTAATGAAAATAAAATAAAAAAGTCACAAGTTAGTAAAAACCCTAATTTCTATATTAATTTGAAAAAAAAGTCAAGTTTAACCTAATTAAACTAAATTAGTTTGTTAGCATTTTATTTACAAAAATAATAAGGTGAAATTAATAAATCATAATAATAAAAAAATATTTACATTTTAATGGTCTGAATTTATTATGAAAATTAATTATTTGTTAGTTAATAATAATAATGATAATAATTATAATTAAAAGAAAATAAAAGAAAGGGAAAATAAAAAGAAATAATAAACCAGGGGGGTGCCAGGCCTTTTTTTGGAGGTGAGTTTAGAAATTCCTGGCCCATTAAGCTGCAAGCCTGTTTTGACCTTTGAGATTGTCTATGGTACGTATTGACTGGGAGCATGGTAGTCACTCACTCTTGGCCTTTGGATGCATGCCTGTAGCCACTTAGCACCTGGATGTGTGGGGTATATGGTGGACAACATTCAGCAACCTGCATGTGAATACATTGGAAAAAATAGAAACAAGGGATTTGGGGGACCTGGGAATCGAACCCAGGTCCCAATGATTCTTGGACAACGCATCCACCACTGAGCCATTCGCTTGCATTTGTTATTATGACAATGAGTAATTATAATATATAAAAATCAACACTTATGCTGTAACAAAACACGCGCGCCTTTTTCATTTGAATGAACCAATAACACATCACCAGCTCATCGTCTTCTTCGTTTACCTGTAAAAAAGACAAAGAGATAGCGGGGGGTTTTTAACCCCCACAATATGGAACGAGGAATAATAGCGATTAGCTCCCTAGGCTATATAAATATGGCGCGATGGTCCTGTTAGATTCGTCTGAATCTTCTGAATTCAACCATAATCATTAGAGGTTCCAATTTTCCCTGGTTACTGAATCCCCAAATTCAAGGTTTATGAACCCTAATATTTGTCAATGGTAACTTTCAATTCTGCGCATTATAATCCAATTAGCTTATACCATTAGTTTCCTGTGGTCTTTAACATTACAAAACAAGCAAAAAATCACATCAAATGCTTATGAATTATGAGTTTCGATTATGGGAAAGATATGCAAACCGTGGGTCTGTGTAGATTGATTTCTTGAGCTTTGGCGTGTGGTTTTGATTGCAATGTGTCCCTGAGAGTTCCAGCAATGTGTTAGAAACAACCAAAGTCCTTGAATTGGCCTGGAAGATTGAAAACAGTTTTCACTTTTTTCTTGGATTTTTTGAATGTGATTATGGATTTATTGCAGAGTTTTCACGTCCATGGCATTAGGGTTAGGTTGTGTACTTATAGGAGAATGAATTTAGGTTACAATCTTGCCAAGAAATCCATGGAATTGATGTTTCAATATTTGATTAGAAATCAAATATTTTTCAATCTTTTTGATTGGAAAAACTTGCCAAACTTGGAGATTCTTGTCCCCTTGATGTGCACACGAGTTTGCCAGCTCTATTAGGTCATATTTGCTTCATGAAAAGATTGAAAAACCATATCTTGATATTTCCTACGATTTAAATTAATTAAAATGAATTAATATTGATTAAAAATCCAATTAATTAATAAAAATAAGAAAATAAATCAATTTAAGCTTGATGGGTCGTGCATAGGCCTTGGATAAAGTTTCAAGAAGAAATTTGAGGCCCATTAGCAAAAACAAAGTGTTTTGAGCAAAGTTGACTTTTGCAAGTTCACAAAAATTTCCCAACTTCTCCAATGCATATCTTGCTCAATTTTGATCCTATGAACATGTTCTTGGACATTTTGGAAAGGTCTTGAAGTCCTCTAACCAATGCCTTTGGTCTCATGTAATTTGGATTTACCAATCTCAAGTTATGGTCTTTGACTTAAAGTGCATTTTTGTTGACTTTTGAAATTGACCTATAATGTAGAAATTGATAACTTTTTGTGAGAGCATTTATTTGACTTGGAATGTGAAGATGAGTTGTAGGAAATGTCATCCCTTTAAAAATGAGCATTGGATGGAATTTTTCTGATGAACCATGAAAAAGTTATGCCTTGGTCAAGATACAGTTGACTTTTCTGCTGTCCAAAAATAGTAACTTTTGCATCTTGATGATTTTTGAGCCATGCTTGTGGAATCATGATCAAGACTTGATCAAATGATGATTGTGGGCTCAAAATAAGATGTTGACCAAAAATTCTGACTTTTGACTGTAAAATGACCATTTTGCCCCTGCAGTTGATTGTGAAGTAAATGAAGCTTTTGACTGTGCAAACTGACATTGTGAGACTTGAGACTTGACATGTAGGTGCTTGAGAATGTATATAGGCATATGTGACTTGATTGAGCCATTGAAAATCCCCAAATTCCTTGAAAGATCCAAAATCCTAATTTTGACTGGCTTAGGAGGCATTTGGACTGTGCAACCCTTGAGAAATCTTGAACCATTTGAGGATGATTCTTGACAAACCTTGAAGAATATGGGAGGGAAAATTTTGGGGTACAACAAATACCAATTGCACTGATAAGTTCTTGATAACCATTTGTAACTATTTCCCAGAGATCAATATCATATCCCATAAAGAAACTTTTTATTCTGTCTCTCCAATAGTCAAATTTCTCTCCATCAAACATAAGAGGCTTAACATTGTATCTATTATTATTGTTTGTGTTAGCAACAACCAGTTAAAAAGGTTTTTCTCCCACTAGATCTCTCTACACTATTAAGTGTTTGATTAGAAAATTAATAACATAGTGGGAGCTATGATACCAATTGAAGGTGGAGAAGAACATAAGAAAGGGGGGGTTTGAATTGGGTTTTAAAACTTTTTCGTTTAGAAGTGATTTTCACAAATGATCAGAATTAAAAACAATGCTAGGATTAGAAATGACAATCAGAAATATAAATAAAAGGACACTTATGGTTTATCCAGGTCCACCTTAGAAAAGGTTAATCCTGTCCACCCGCCAATGTGATTTCGCCTTCGAAAAGGATTTAATCCACTATAACCCACTACAACATTTTTGGCCTACAACCACGCTAAATTTTTCCACAACTCAAAAACTGTGGCCACATACAAACTTTGGCCAGAGTTTTTAAATCGTAGACATATGTTTTGAAATATTGAATATGGAGTGTGAAACTATGGTCTTTTCTTTAATTGTCACGATTACAAAATCACACTTATATTTAACCAAGGTTAAGAAACTGTAGATAGATTAAGCCAGAAAGAAAAACTGTTGCATTATAATTTTCACTTCAAACTTTGACCCAAACCCAAAAAAATATACCCCGCCAGAATTTATCTAACTCTCCTTAATTATTTTCTTTTCTAATTGTTTTTAAGATTAAAAAAATAAATTTGGACCGAACCGAGTCAAACCAGACTCGGAACCCTTCCTTAATCTGACTGGATTGTAAAAGTACAAACCTACCTCCTTTCTCTCTTCCGGCTCCCACAATCTCTCTTCTCCCTCATCATCCCTGTCTCGATATCTTTCACCGAACAGAAGGAAAAAAATCATTGAAATCAAACTCCAAACCTTCAAGAATTCTGAAACCCAGAACACAAACTCTTCGTAGATTTCAACCATTCTCATGATTTTTGCAATGGAAATTGCTCAACACAAACAAAAACGGCGGATAATCCATCCCCAATTCGAAAACCTTGGTTACAAAAAACCCCGCACGATGTCGTATCCTCCAGCTGCAAACTCCAAGACCGAAGTCCGTCGCAAACGATACAAAGTCGCTGTCGATGCGGAAGAAGGCCACCGACACTGTGAGAACACAATGGTTGAGATTTGTAAGAATTGTAGAGAAGAGAGTTTCCTCAAAAGAGACGCGAGGGTCTTCAACCTCAGCAGATTCCTTCATCCATTCACTCCATTGTTAAGAAGAGGGTCATTTTTCGCTTAATCAATTTTTTCTATGATTCGTAAATTACTATGATCATAACCGTATTCTGATTGTTTAATTGTTTAATTGTTTAATCGTTGAATTTGAATTGCGAAAGACTAGTTAGTTTGCTTAATTACTCGTTAATTTTTTTAGATTTGCGCAACCCTAGGTTAGTCTGAATGTTCTCTCTATGAATTGCAGTTGGAAAATTTACCGTTACTGGTGTTTAGAGTGATGATAATAATTTGCAGCTTAGGTCAACAACTCAGTTTTGAAAGCTGCTTTCTATTGGTTTGAAATTGGATTTACTACTTTTATTTACTATGAAGTGACTTTTGATTAATTAATATGCTTCTTTATTCTAATTCGATGATAGAGTTTTTCATGTTTTTATTCATCAATGGCTGGTTTGGTTTTCTGATTAAGGTTTTTGTACATAGATTGTGTTAATGGTAGTAACAATTAATGACTTACTAGAGTTTTTTTTGTAGGTTTATTATTTTGTACGAGGTTGTTGGGTACTGAAGATTGTTAGCGACGATGGCGGCAACGGAGGAAATTTGATATGCAGGTAGAAACTAGAAACTAATTTCAACTTATATGAGGAGCTGTTGTTTGAAAAGCACATAGTCATCAGATTCTTTTAGTATTTTTTCATGTCATAGAGTGTTGATTATACAAGGTGTAAGATTAATTGAGTTCCTTTCCATTGTCTCTCAAACCTTGCTTATAGGAAATGTGTATATTTTTCTGTCTTGAAAAAAGTATTATGGGCATGCTCTGCATATGTAGAAACTCGAGTAGAGATCTACATTTGTTAAATGTAGCACCAATACAATATGAGACATGCATACAATATAACTCAAACATGGGGATACTGTGAAAATTTTGCCACATAATATTAGTATGAAATTAATATAAAACCAAATCTTAAATTGAGATGGAAAATTGATACTTCAAAAAGTTTATGCCATGAATAATTGGAGACGATAAAATGTTGTGATTTATTTAACTATTCTGGTGTTATCTTATGTATTGGGTCATACAAAATTAGAAAATGCAGCTAGCAATTCATTGACCCTTCCAACACGTGTATTCTCTTGAAGTATCGTGCTTTCTTGTATAACACCAATGTATTGAATTATGTAATTTGCATTGATGGATTTAAGATTTGTGTATTACTTAAGTCAAAATCTCGGTTCAATGCGGAATTAATTGATGTGAACTCATTCTCTTGTTCCAGTCTCATTCCCTTGAGCTATTTCCTCTGCTGTTTTAACGTTTAAGCGTGTAAACTTAGTAGGAAATGTATGCTTTGTTAGTTATGAAAGATAGATTTAAGCATTTTTCAGAAACTCTAGACTGTTATACTTAACCTGTTTGTTAATTAATATTTGACAGCTGGTCCCAAAGATACTCCAATGGAGCATGTTTATGAGAAGACATACGATGCTAAAACAGGAAGGGGCATGCCTGAACTTTAAGTAAGGAGATAGAAAAATAATGGCCATCCCTATAATTTCGTATTCATTAACGAAGTTATGTCGGGAGGCTTCTAAGAAATCAAAGAGCATTCACTGTCTGTGTAATGACTGTTTGAAATCCGCGAAGTATCGCAAGTCAATATTTAAGAGGGTGAGATCAACTTCCCATATCTGCATTTTGATGGATTCAAGTTATTGCATCAGTAATCTAATTCTGATATTTCCCTTGTTTCTCTTGCTGATTTGGTTTTTTGCAGATTTTGAGTGTCTCAATGTATAGTAACTTGACATTGTTATTACTTTGGGTGGCTAATATTATTCTAGTTTATTACATAAAGAATAGGAATACGGAGGTAAAAGTAACAAATTAAAATGAAATTGGCGATTTCACTGGTTGAGATTTGAATTTAACATTGATGGTTGTTGTGTATATTGTATAACATTTCATTTTTTTGCCGAGTGTTCAAATGGTAGATACTCTGAGATTTCTCTTGTAAATTTTTGATCCATTTAGTATTCTTGGATTAGAGCCTAGAGCAGCTGAGTCTGCAATAAAGAAAAAATATAGGAGACTTTCTGTTCAGTTCCATCCAGATAAAAATCTCGATCCAGGTGGAAGTTGTTTCTGTTTTTTATTTCCCTTAGTTGCAAACTTTAATATTGCAAAAAATGGGCTTCTTTAATCACCCATGTGTAAATAACATTTTGTTATTCTTTTTGTTTCAGAGGCACACAAGTACTTTGTTAAGCATATTGCTAAGGCTTATCAAGCTCTAATTGATCCAGTGGCTCGTGAAAATTATGAAAAATATGGCCATAAAACTGAAATGTCATTTAAGTGATCAGTGGCTTGCTGTTTTTGTTTTTTTGTGTGTTTTGAAAATAAGCAATCGGTCACTACCTTGAATTTAGAGTTGGGCTTGTTCTAAGTATACTTTTTTATGATATCATATATACCATAGCTTTGATTCATCTATTTAGAATATAATTGAGAGTTTCAAAATATGGTTGGACTACACTAATTAAAACACCTTATGATGCATGAGTTTAATTAATAGAAGTTTTTTTGTTTGTTTTTCTTTGCTTTGTAGTAGTACACACGTCACTTTCATCTTGCCATCTGCCATAACGGTAGGAATTGATCACGGGAGACAAATAATACATAGTACATCCATTTGAATGGCATGTGTAATTGTATCTATCTTTGTACTAACTCTTCTGGCACTTGTTTCTGATGATATTGTCTTCTGATGAATATGACTTTTTATGAAGTAGATTAGCTTGAGAAGATATCATCTTTTGATCTTGTCTTCTGATGGAATATATGATGTGTAGAAGGAAGTGATGGGTCCAGAAGATTTAACTTTCCTTTGACCAGTCTTCTGATGGAATATTTCTGATGTAAAGTTATGTGCGCATATTTCACGAAGTTCCTGAGTCTTCAGAATCTTGACTTTGTCTTCAGAATTATGAGCAACAACTCTTCTGATGAACAAATCTTGACTTCTGAATCTAAGGTAGAAGCTTTCCTTTGATATGTTTAGAACATTGACTTTGTCTTCAGAGTTACAAGCAATAACTCTTTTGATGAACAAATCTTGACTTCTGATCTTTGACGTGAAAACTTGTTTCTGTGCAATCTTGTTTTCTGATCTTGGAGCAGCAATTCTAACAAAATTTATTTCTTTTTGAATACTTGTGACTTCTGAAGTAGCAGCTTTTCTAAGAAGTACACATGAGATCCTCTTTCTGACGAACATTCAACATTATTCAGAACTATTGATGTTACTTCAGAATCGGATGCAATAGTCTTCAGTTGCGTGCTTTTGATGATTCTTCAAACAACAATCCTGAATCAATTAGAACTTCTAATCTGCACACTCAAGAAACTATTAGAAACAAATTCTTTACATATTAAATATATGTATTATTATCATTAAAATCCAGAAATTTAACACGTCCAATTCTTGTTCTAACACCGTGTACACTATTCACAAATACGTGAACAATGTTTTTATATTATTTTAATTTTTTAATATATTTTTCTCTAAAACTACTTTAGTTAATAAAATAGTAAAACTTGGTTAATACAGTTCAAAGTTTGGTTAATATATATTCTGACATACAAATTTTAATATATATAGAATTCAGATTTTGGTTAATATTATTTATAAAGTTGATTAATAGAGTTCATAACATGGTATGCGTTCTTAAACATTAAAAAAATAAATAATAAAATAAAATTGATTAATAGAGTGTAAAAATTAATTAATATATTTATAATTTAATGTATAAACATAGTTAATAATATATATTTTATTAGTTAATAAAATAGTGAAAGTAATTAATAAATTATAAGTAAAATAATTGGTTAATAACGTACATTTTTGTGCTTAGTAGAATTGTGAAGTTGATTAACGACACAATTTTATATTTGTATTATAAAAAAAATTTAAATTTTCTTTTTAAAAAAATAATATTATTTTATTAAAAAAATATTGTTTACCATATAAGTGTAGGTGAACAGTATATGTGTATTGGTGGAATATATAAGTGTCAAAATAACAAACGGTCGCAAACAAATGGATATGTTCACTAGATTAAGAACTTTTTTTCATTCATTTAGTATCAAAATAAATTATATAATATGAATTTGTAGATTAAAAACTCTTTTTATTCATTTACTATCAATATAATATATTATGGGATTTGATGGAATCGGTTTTAAATTTTTGATGAATTGTATTGATATATGAAAATTTAGTTGAAATGTTTAAATATTTAAAAATGAATAATATAAAAAGTTAAGTGAGATACATTTAAAAAACTCAGATGAATATAATAAATGTGGATGCTCTTATAAGAAAGATGGCTTAGTGGGTTTCTCCTAAAATCTTCATAATTTTTTCATGCAAAAGCCATAAAAATGGAATTGCAATTATGAATATGATATAATACAACACACACAATAACCAAACCAGCGAAACAAGATAAATTGGTAGTAATAAGAATTACAATAATTATGAATTCAAAATGATTGAAGTTACTGTGAGTGATTCTACCCCTGTAAAACTTGCAAGATAGAACAAACTGATTGAAGTAAAGAGAGAAACAAAAGTAAAATTCCAGCAACAGAAGCAGCGGTTTGCCAAGGACTGCTACAATAATTGCGCCTGAGAGTAGCCTTCAATTGATGCCAAGGATTACTAAAAAAACCATCCAAACCTTCACAAAGAACATTGTAAGCAAAACTGGAACTTGATAGTGCAACGTTTTTACAAAGACCATTCAACAAGTTAGCCACAGAATTATTATATCCATGCCAATTAACAAATTTTCTAAGTATTTATACTAACTAAATACATAAGCTATTCTTTGTGGGGTGGCTTGATATGTTCTTAAGTATCAATCAAATCCCTAACCTAAGGGACGAATTGCTTACCAAATGCAAAGGGAATCAAATCCCTAACCTCAAACTCAAGGAACGGATTGCTTATCACCTCACCCACTAATAATGTTTATATACAACACTGAAGGCACCATAATAATCATTTTTCCATCTAAATACCTATTATTCTCAAAATTTCAATACATATACAACTTACTTCACAAATATATTTAAATAAAAATAATTATATTTTAGTTATATTTCAACACTAAATTATATATTTTAACTCTATCATATAGGTGATATTTCAAGAACATGCGACCTTAAGAATAGAATAGATTAAGCAAATATTAAATATATAGTGGAAAATTAATGTTAATTAAATCAAATAGATATTAAAAATAGAAAGAAAATATTGTTGTTTTGAATGAATCAAATATATTTTTATTTTTTTAAATGAACTAAATATATTGCATAATCATTTCAATTATTAGAAAAAATATATGTTTCAAAAATTTCAGTTACACTTTTAGTTCAACTATTTAATATTTCATATTTAATAATATTAATTTATATAAATATTTATTTAACAAATTATTTTTTCGAAACAAAATATTTTGATTCTTTTTAATAATATTCAATTTTATATAATATTTATTTTTGGTTTAGTGGTGATTGACGCTGGATTTGATCTCACAGTTCGATCCCTTTAAAACTGATTCTCGAACTAGACTATACCGTTGATGAAAGAAAAAAAGAGTACATTTTTGTTCTATAAAAGTGTTCAAAATTAGTGTTTTAGTATTGAAAAAGAAAATATGAGCAATCCTATGCTAGGGTTTAGTTATGCTAACATAAAAGAATCTTGATGAAGAAGATGATCTCAAAGACCGTAGTACCGAAAGAGTCAAAGGAAAGGAAGATGGAAACATGTCACCCATGCATACTGCATTATCTCAGAGGGGAGATGTGATACGGTGGGAGAACTGACTTGGGTTTTGCGTTTGTTTTCACAAATGTTTCGGTTGAGCAAGAGTCGCCACCGACTTTTTATTTTATCCTAAGGAAAGGTTAAAAAGCACAGCAAAAACCTTTGAGATGTTTTCTTGGGTTCGGGGAGTAGATTATAGAAAGGGAAGGTATTAACACCCTTTCTATCCATGGTTATCCATGGGCTCTTAGTTACTTGCTTAGATCACTTGCCTTGTGTTTTCAATTGTTTGAAATGGTGCTTTGTGTGTGGGTTTGAAAATGTTTTGAAAAGAGGCCATTTGTTGTGGCAACCTTTGTAATGATCCATGTTTGAATGTATACAAAGGTGTACTTATCTTTTGAAAAAGTTTTTAATGTTTTTGAAAGTTGTTTTGAAAGTGTGTTGTGATGTGTGGTTTTGAAAAATAGGCAAGTGTGTTTTGCAAGTTTGATCAAGTAACTAAGAGTTGTCTACCCCTAAATTTACTCAAAGGTTTTTTCTATGTTTTAACCCTTTTAACAATTTTGTTCCACCATTGTATTTGGTGGACAATCTTGTGTTAGGATGTTAACGGGACGGGCGCGGGTCATTGTTTAGACCACGATTGCAATGGTGCCAAGTGTCTTTGGGCAATTTTTCCTTTAAGGGACTTGATCATTTTTAGGCAACTTTCGAAAGCGTCATCGAGGGACTATGATCATTTGATATTGTTTTGTTTTGCCAAAAACACTAAACATGCAACATGGCCCATTATTGAAGGCAATAAGTGGAGTAACCCTAGGGGTGCAAGTGTGATTGGTGTTGTCCGTTTTCATGCTTTTTTGTCTTTGAATTAGGTCAAGCTATTTGTTATTTTGTTTTTGCATACAAAACCCTAAGTCTATCATGGTATGATTAGAAAGCTTTAAAATGCGGAAATTTAAGTCCTAAATTATTACAACATAATAATGGGATGGGGGATACAAATGTTCAAATGGGAATATTTAGCAAGAAATTTAAATCTAAACTATTACATCCAAATTGAATATACAAGTATTAGAATTGTACAATAATTAAATAAAATACAATAAATATGCAAGATGCAAAAAATGATTTTTATATGTATGTAAAAGGTATTTTTTATGTGACGAATAAACAAAAATAAAAAGGTTAATTTTTGGGTATTTTCATGGCTTAGGGCAAAACCCTAATTTGCTAAATAAAAAGTATTTATTATTTATTATATGCAATATTTATTAATTATATACAAAAAATAAATAAAAAGGAAGTATATTGTAAAAAAGTGATTTTTGAGGTCAAATATTAATAAAAATAAAAATGTATTATTTTTGTATTTTTATCCTAAATATTCTAATAAATATATAAGTATTTATATTATATATTAAATATATTAAATATATACAAAAAATAAAAATATTTATTATTTACAAAAAAAGTATATCTTTTTTAGAAAATGTTTTCAAAAGATAAAATAAAATAAAATCAGAAAATAAAATGTATTTGTATTATTTTTAGTATTTTAAATAAAAGTATATATATATATATATATATATATATATATATATATATATATATATATATATATATATATATATATATATATATATATATATATATATATATATATATATATATATATATATATATATATATATATATATATATATATATATATATATATATATATATATATATATATATATATATATATATATATATATATATATATATATATATATATATATATATATATATATATATATATATATATACATACACATATCAAATAAAACAAATAAATGCCTAATAAATACAAAAAAAGGTGAAAAATATTTTTTATTTTTTTTTTATATTTTAACAAAAAATAACAAGTCAGAATCAAAAAGAAAAAGTCAAAAATGATAAAAATAAAACACAATGGGCCAAGGGGGTGTATGTGTGAAATAGTGGTGCAAACAGGAAAAAATAGGCCAGGCCCAACCCAAAGGACTTTGTCTTCAACCTCCAGACATTTTCAAAACAAAAACGCGCGTTTTCTTCCTTCTCTACTATCTCTTGTTCCTTTAACTTTCAACAAAAACTTACAACATCAAAGTTATAGAGCATCATGTCACGATTCTAAACATATAAAGAAGTTGATCTAACTCTCAGAAATGAGAGAGAATTTCTTCTCCCCCAATTCCTGACCTAACTTTTTTCTAATGTTCAGGTTCCAAATTCTCTTAACACACACAATATAAATGAAAAGTAATGATACAGGTAACTTCAGGGCCATGAGTAGGACATAACTTCTTCACAAACCTAAGCCTAAATATGCTTGGATAGAGAGATAGAAGTTCGAACTTTTACCTGT